CCCCCCCCCCCAACAGCACCCGCCGTATTCACTGAGGAGTGAAGGTACAAAAGCGAGGCATTATGCAAAAGTAAACATTTAAACCTCTATCAAGGTGAAGTTTTCTATGTTAATACTTTTAAATATAATTGTTCTACAGTATCGTAGTTTGGGGTCTGTTTTGTTTGCTGCTGCTGTTGGGGTTTTTTCCCATTTCTTCCATTCGTGGAGTTCAAACAGGAGGGTCACAATTCCTGTCCTTCTAGTTCTGGGTTCATTGTCACCATGTACCTCTCTCAGTGTGGATCTGCACAGACTTTAAAGAGCACAGCAGTTACCTTCTGCAGGTCCTTGAAGATCTGCAAAGTTTAAAGACACAAATCTTGCTAACCAAGTAGATATTCATATGGATTTTTCTTGTATACGTGTTGATAAGGAAGGGGACCTTCCTACATAATTTGGATATGGCATTATGGTGTTTTCTCATTTAATTTTTTTTTATACAGATGATGTATTTTGTCTGCTTGCTAGGTTCACCCATTCCAGGCTTGTTGGAGATGGATAAAACATTTTGGTTTGCTGGTGTAACACCCACACACCCACATTATATATGATCCACAGACAGCGTAGCACTAACTTGCCTTCCTCTCTCAGTAGAATCGCTGTCTCTTCCCAATCCATTTTTGGACACACAACTTCAGAATAACATGGCTGCTGTCACGATGTGGGATGCGTTCTAAGCATTTAATGTGAGTAGGCTATTAGGAAGATCGTTTCATTTGTGAGCCAACTTGTCGTATATTAGATTTCAGCAATTTGCAGACTGTTGGAATCCTGATCACATGTCATATTGGGCAGCAGACAACTCTTTCCAGTTTGTGGATTATAGTCTGGCGGAAAATGCAATGAATGGTAACCCTACTTCTCAGACATATTGGATATGTTGAGAACAGCACTGATAAATCTAAGTTTCACTGCAACAGCGGCACAGCAGCAGTTCAGAGCAATTTCTGGGGCTGCAGGCATAGTTCAGACTTCTTGGATGTTTTTCTAAACACATAGAACCGAGTCCATTGAAATTTCTGGGAAATTTGTTTTTTTACGCAATGCAAAAATCCACAATCTTTGAAGCTCTCTAATTTGCATATAATGATATGCTGTTGTTCTGAGTTAATTAAAAGATATCCTGAATGATCAGATGTACTGATTTACATGAAAGTGACCCAGTTTCCAAGACTAGTTAGTAGTATAGGGACAACTTTTGTCTGAGATAAAAAGTAACAGGTGCCGCTCCCCCCCCCCAAGCAACCATGTGTACCATTTGTCCTGGAGGTTACGCCCCCTTTTCTGGTCATGTGGTCTGTTGCGATTGGGTGGCAGGACCAGTTGTCCGTTCCAGTCTACCCATAAGTACATCAGACCAGGAAGTCCCTTCCCCCTACATACACAGAGGACCACTATTTTTGTTCACTGTATTTATTTTTTTTTCATTTTCTTTGTCTGTGCTTCACACCCACATCCCCCAGGACTCCTTTTTTTCTTTTTTTTAAGTTAGAAAAAACTTCCAGTCTTGTGAACAAAGCTACAGTTAACTGGTTAGAAAATAATCTGTGTGAGCACAAACGAGACTACCCACCCCTTTCTGTTTACAGAAGTATGTCAGAAAAGGAAGCCCCCTCTCACTACAGGCAGGGAGGATGCCACTTTTGACAGTATCATTCCCCATGTGTGTTCGTACTGGTTTGTGATTGGCTGAGGGCTGGTTTTGACACTGTCCTACCTAGGTGTTCTCAGTTCTCCCTCTGGTTGGCTGCCTGCTTCCTTTGGACCAGGAAATGCTCAGATCTAAAACTGTATACTTTTATATACAATACATACAATATATATGTATATAGAAAAATATATAAAGGAGTGTACAAATATATATGTATTTTATTTATGTATACATACACTATTTTTTGTGTATCCTTGTATATGTGTATCTATAGATAGATACATACATTTATAAAGATATAGTGTGATTGGCTGTTGCTGTCAGATGACCTTGTTATAGTTGAAATGAACCGAATCAAGTCTAAAATGGATTCATCAAGTATTTATTAAGGTAGGAAAGCAAAAGCAGCACTGGGCGGCCGGGGAGTCGCAGCTCCACCAAGGGCTCGCAAATTTACCCTTGCTAGAGCCCCCTTCTTATAGTCTCTTTAGTTCCGGGATGTCGTGGTCTTCTCCGGTCTCTTCATAGGTTCGGTCCCTTGTTGCTAGGAGGAAGGCCATATTCTCCCTTCTCGGGGATTCATACCAGGAGGATTGCTCTTCTCGTTCTCTTCTTCGCTTTTCTAACCCCTCTCTTAGTTTGGCTAGTGAATCTCTTACAGCTCCTGTATGATCAGCATAAAAACAACATTCTTCACCAACGGCAGCACACAATCCTCTGCTTTGCAAGAACAACAAGTCTAATCCTCTCCGATTTTGTAATACTACTTCTGACAACTGTCCTGGTTCCGGCAGGGATGGGGTTAATTTCCCCAGGAGCCGGCAGGGGGCAGGTATTCCATCCCACGTGACCCATGCCCGGGCTATAAGAGGAGCTAGCCGGGCGAGGAGAGCAGTTGCCACTCAGGGCTGGGCTGCGGTGGTGTGGGTTTGGTCGGTGTGCTTTGCGGCGGTACTATCATCGCGTTTCCATCTTTTCCTTTTGCTGTTCTGTTAAATTGCGTTCTTTTAACCCACGAGTTTTGCCCTGACGATTTCTTTTTCCACGACTGTGGGAGTTGTGTGAGCGGCTGCGTGGTTCTTTGTTGCTGGCTGAGGCCGAACCACGACAGGGCCGAGGTCGGTTCTCCATCCCACCTCCTCATGTCCTCTCCGTGGTCACGCAGGTAAAACCACAGGGTGCCTCGTGGTGCGTGCCCCCTGTACTCTCCCTCTTGAGCAGGGAAACGCCTGCTCTTAACAGCTGAGATGCTGGTCTGTACAAAAAGCTTGTGTCTTTTTCCCAATAGCCTTGTCAATGCCTGCTTCTCTGGACAGGGATCCCAGTTGCCTGGCTTCCCTGCCCTCTAATTCCAAGCTACTGGCCCCGTTATCCCAGCATCGGAGCAGCCAGGTGACAATGTGCTCACCAGGAAGTCG